CTTCAAAATTCAGAGAAGAATCTGCACCCCTCTGTTCACTGCAGTACGAGTCAGCACCACTTGGGGGACTGCTCCGCCCTGGCCAAAGATGAACGGTGCCTTTTGCGAAAGAGTGGACAGATCCAGAGGTGATAACACTGAGCAAAATAAAGTTATGAGGCAAAACCTAATTACTACAAGGTTTTACTCCTCCATGGAATATGAAAGACTACAGCAAACTGACCAAGCACAAAAAATACAAGTATGAATACACACTGTGAGACTGCACTGCCCAAATTTTATGATAGTGTGTACCAGTGGTAAGTCACAGAAGATGACTTTTTAAAAAACAATTTGATTTTTTTTAAAGGGAAGCCTAGATTTTATCAAGATACGCATTTATAAAATTAAACCAAAAATAAACATCAGAAGATATAAATTTTATAAGCATCAGGGAACTAATGCAACAGGTCCTGCTTGTTCAATAACCGACATTATTAATAATAAGAGTAGTCACTGTACAAATTACCTAGAAAAACGGGATTCTTTTTTTAATTTTTATTAGTGGAACACCATGAGGTACACTTGTAGATTTACAAATTTTTGTGCTTGGGTTTCAATTATATAATGATCAAGTACCCATCCCTCCACCAGTGCCCATTTTCCACCGCCATGGATCCCAGTATCCCTCCCACCCCCACCCCCCCACCCCCCCTTGCCTCTGTGGCAAGGCATTCCCTTTTGTTCTCTCTCTCCTTTTGGGTGTTGTGGTCTGCAAAAGAGGCCTTGAGTGGCAATCACGTTTGGTCTATAGTCATCTTTCAGCATGTATCTCCCCTCCTGGGAGGATCCTCCAAACACCCTTTATTTGGTGCTCCCTTCTCTTCTGAGCTGCCCTTTCCCCTAGAGTGCCCAGCTGACCTCTAAGCCATGGAGTAATCCTCCTGGTACTGATCGTGGCTATTCTTGGGTATTAATCTCCTGTTTTGTTACTTGATGTCCCCAGATGAATGCAATCTTTTTATGTCTATCCCTCTCTTTCTGACTCATTTCGCTTAGCATGATACTTTCCATGTAGTACCACTTGTATGTAAAATTCATGACTTCATCTTTTCTAACAGCTACATAGTACTCCATTGTGTAGATGTACCAAAGTTTCTTTAACCAGTCCTCTGTTCTCGGGCACTCAGGTTTTTTCCAGATTCTGGCGATTGTAAAGAGTGCTGCAATGAACAAACAAGTGCAGATGCCACCTCGACCATATATCTTTGCCTCTCTGGGATATATTCCCGAAAAACAGAATTCTAAATGCACAGGCAGATTTGTTTTCTATTCACAAGCACACCACAGCAGGAAAAGGCAAAGTGGTTCCCCTACCTGCAGGTCAAACTGTATAAAATAATAGCACAAATGATGATGCAAAGCGCTCGCTCCTTTCATTTTTTCTCCTTGTAAGAGGAAAGGGGCAGCATGCTTGCCTGATTCCTTAAGCAATAACGAGACAGATTCCAAGAGCTGCCTCAGAAATTGGGAAAGTTTCCACAAACCTGGTCCTTCCTGGACAAACAGGCAAAGACTAGAGAGAGGACAAAGCAACAGCACGTATAAAAATCACCAAATTTTGAGTCTATCTATGTACTAGAAGTCAGGTTTTTTATGCGACGCTGGAGTCAAGATGCACAATCAAGTGATAAGTCAGAAAACTGCAGAGACAGGAGGGCGATGACGTGCCATATGCCAGACCACAAAGAACTTGAACAGATTTTAAAGGGCACAAAACTTAATCCTTGGGCATAAGAATTTGGGTTTTTTTTTTTTATAAAAGTTGTTTTATCCTGTGCCTTTGATTTTCAAGAAAACATGTGATTGGAAACAGATGGCAATCAATAATTAAGCATCAAGAACACTTTATCCCTAATGAGATTTCTTTCACAGACGAGCGTAACTCCACACAGAGCGTTTTATGTAGGTGGTTTTCCAAGTCGTTCATCTAAAACCAAATCGAGTATCTGAAAGAAGGTGCCAATATAGAATTCTCTACCCAGCAAATACGAGGTTCAAGTGAAGCAAAATGACATCTTTTCACACCAAAAGAATCAAGGTGTGGAGCGGGGAGGCAGCTCCAAGGGTGGGGTGCATGCCCCCTGCACGCTGAATGGGTCTGACTCTTGCCTGCTTGTACCACACAGTCCCGTGCACACCACAAGGAATGAACCCTGAGCACTGCGCCAGAAGGAGCCTCTGGGCAACTCCAGGTGATGCCCAAAAGTCAAAAGGAAAAACAAACAAAAAAACCCAAAAAAACTGAGGCTGTATCAGCCCCACGCCCGCACAGGAGGAAATATGAAAGGGCACTGGCCTTCAGAAAACCAAGAAACGTGGAAAAGAATAATAAATACAGAACTAAGATTCCAGGTCTCACTGCGGCGGCAGAGGAATCGGGCCATCCCTCCACGTCCCTGCCTGCTTGGGGTCCTGGCTGTCCTGCCCACAATCTGCCTCCAGGCACCATCTCAGCACACCTACGGCCTTGATCCAGAGACTCCCAGATGAATCCCCAAATGGATTAGCACCCTACAGAGATGCCTCTTGATCCCAACCATTTACGATTTTATAATTCTAGAAGTGCACGGCCATGAAAGTGAGCACCAGAAAATAAATGATCTAGCCTCTGCTCCGGGCAGGCAGGGGTGAAAGAATGGTGGTAGGAAAGTTCGAGCAAATCAGAATGCCCAAAGTAGAGAGAGGAGAGGGTAAACTGTCTGCCACAGAGGCAGGGGGAGAGATGGAACTGGGGTGGAGATGGGGGACACTGGGCACATTGGTGGTGGAAAATGTGCACGGGTGGAGGGATGGAGGTTCCATCATTGTATGGCTGAAGCTCAAACATGAAAGCTTTGTAACTGTGTCTCACAGTGACTCAATTAAAAAAGAAAAGAATAATCTATAGTAAAAAGCAGAAACAAATAAATATAAATACTTGGCAAGAGAAAACAATAAAACGTCCTGGGATGTTTGAAATGTACATAGAATTAAACAAGGTACACAAACACACACAGAGACACACACACACAATATAAACACTAAAAAAGTTCCCACACACTCGGGGACAGACTGATTGTCCTGGTACCCTGAGACTGGTGATTAGGAGAGTAAGGTTTATGAGTACAGACACGGTGTTTCAGTGGTTACATTTTTGAAAGTCAGGCCATCGGTAATGGCAGGCCTCTGGAATTCAGACAGCCAAGAGGACTGCTCCAGTGAGCTTCCTGGAAAATGATGGACTATTTACAGGCCGAGAGAACCTGTATGCCAGAGGCCATCCTCCATACATACCCGGGACCACCACATCCTCGCAAGTATCGAGTCCAGAAACCTCTAAGCAGCCCAGGGCCTGGCCCAGGAAATGACCTGCCCAACTGGTAGGGCTCTGTGTGGCTGGTGCATAAAGCAGAAAAAGTAGGATACAGTCATCCTTCAGGTTTCAGGGAGTCAGGACCGAGGGACCCCCAACTGGCGCTCCTGACTCGGGCTCCCTCTCCTCTCTGATCAGGCTCTCCCTGTCACCTCAACCCAGCAGTAACTGTCCTGGGAGAACTGTGAGGAGACGCCCGATTCTGACTTGCCAACAAGTTTCATGGACTGTCCTCTAAGAATGTGAATGGAAGAAGAAAGAAGATCTTTCTCTGACAACTAGTGAAAGATATCCTGAGGAGAACTCTGTTTCTATCCATCTTGCAGAACCGCAGAAAGAATACCTACCTTCAGCCTCTGGAACAGAACTTCGTATCTAATCAGAATGAGTGCCTTCATGCTTAAAATCAAGGAAAACAAATCTTCCATTTCGTACACTTTTATGTCACTTTTCTACTTGTGATGTTTAAATGCCAAACGCACAGTTTAGTCCTAAAATGGTCTTAAAATGCTTCTCTAAGTGGAACGCAATTATTGCAATTAAAGCATTGTTCTGCTACTCAAAAATCATCTGATTTACTTAAATGCTAGTTAAACACCATAAAAATTCTAAAATACATAACTAGAAAGTCAGAGTTCATTTAATCCATTATGTCAAAACAGGGATTGTTTTAACTTTTCTTTTACTTCCTTTAAAAGAAATCCTATTTATTTTTTTCTAAAAGAAAAAAAAATCAGTAGGATAAACTCAGGACGAACTTCCCCAATCAAACTTTAAAATGATTCTGGTTAGCCACAAATTGGCTCAAGTAGTTAAATATTTTTCTGAATGTATTTTACTAAAACATGTCTGACAACATATAATAATGTCATATAGTAATTGGGGTACTGTTCCACACAATCACAAATTATTTTCACCAATTATTATCCTTAGTCAATTCGCAGACTAAAAAGGTAACTTTTGTTCTTATAAATTATCCAAGTAAGCTGGATACACAACTTGCCTCACATGCAATTCTGTAAAAGACTCCTTTGCTCAGAATGAAAAAGTAAACATGAAAAGCTGTTTTAAGTAATGTATTTCACTGAACTAAAATCACACACCAAAATAACTTAAGATCTTGCTCCATTTTTTTCTGCTCTATTATTTCCCCAGTTACTTTAAATTTGTTTTCCCAGTTATTTAAAAAAAATTCAGAAACAAAAGCATTTTAAGTTTCAACTGTTTACCAAAGATTATAATACAGAAAAGTTAAGATTGAGACATACTCGATTATAAAAATTCAATAAAACTCTAGTCATAATTTATTAAAACCAGATTTAGAGGGAATACATATGTTGATTACAATAAATAAAAAGAGTATTAAGACAGTTTCTCAGTGATTCACCCAAAATTATCCTAAATCAAACAATCATAAGACTCCGATGTATGCCATAAAAAGATATTTGGTTATTCTCACACCTCACCCTAGATCCCTTTACAGTGTCAAATCTTTTTCTTTTTTTCTACACTCATTATTTTTCTTAGTAATAAAATACCACCTAGCCGAGTTATAGAAGATGAATCTTTAGAAATACGACTCGTAAAACAATTTGAAAATACTTACAGTCTTGTTTCGTAATCGAATTATGTCTGAGACAGAGCCAGCACCGCAGTACTCCATAACAATCCAGAGGTCTGTGTTCTTGAAGTAACTGCCATAATACTTCACAACATACGGGCTGAGGACAGACACAGAAACAATTAGACCGTGCATTCCCAAAGAAAACTGTCCCTATAATCCCGACACGGACTGTTTTCAACAGTTCACAATGTTCCAATAAGAAAACTTAATGAGCAAACTGCTATTGTGCAGTAAATTGTCTATACGTAAGGTTCACCAACTGGGTGTAATTAGCCTTCAGTTCATGGATGAAATTTAACAGGATTACAAACCAGAGGAGGCCCAAATGTTTTGAGTGATTCCCAAGAAAACAAGGCTCTGTTCTGGCAAACCACTTACCATTTAACATAAGGAACAAATGAAAATACTTTCCTTTAACTAAAATATTTTAAATATAAATCTTCTCAAGGATTTTGCGTTCAGTCAAATATTAACACTGGCTTTAAAATAGTCTTTATATCAATGAGGCCAGAAATGTTTTTAATTCCCTTTCATTTTGGCTTTTGAAAGTTCTAAAAAAGATATCTAAAAATGTTTCCACTTTAAATGCAGACAGTTAAAAGTATTAACAATTTAAAGTCTTCTGAACTAAGGTGTTGTATCTTTCTGAACCGAATAAACTATATTTACAGTCACTTTGTTTACTCTGTTCACTCTGGAAGACTTAAAAGAAAGGGGACTCAGTGGTATATGCCAGGGTATACGCCTGGCGTGCCCCAGGGAACCCAAGTTCCAACCCCAGTGCCACATGGCCCCAAGAACCACCAGGTGCGGTCACAGTGGTCCCCAAGCATCCTTTGGTGTCCCCAGCCCTGTATTGCCAGTCTCACTGCCCTGGAGCCATGTGCAGCACTGCTTGGGAAGCTGCCCCCCACCTCCCACAAGAAAAAAAAAAGGAAAGGGAGAGAGTAATGAGTAATGATTATCACCTCTTAACATTCTTCTGGAGTACGCAACGTACACCGATATGTGAAACCTCTTGCCCATCTCCAAGGAGCAGAGTGTTCAGTCACAGACTCACAGAGAGACAGCAAATACAGACACAAAGTGAAATGCTACGAGTGCTCCAGGGAGGGAGCACTTGTAGCACGGGGGGAGCTGTTGGGGCGGGGGGATGGACATCAAAGAGAACCCTTGTAGAAAGGGTGGAATTTGAGTTATGGAAAAAAGGCAAAAACTTCCAAATGTGGGTGGAGAAGCAAGATAAGAGCTTTCTGGGAAAAAAAAGACACAAAAACAGAAGGGAGGAAAAACAACCAAGAATGGTACATTTCAGAGACAACGTGGGCACAGGGAAGAAAGGAGGGAGACTGTAAGATTAAGAGATCACAGGACTCCCACTAGCAAAATGAAAATCAGCAGTGAAAGGTCCATCAGAAGCACACCCCCATCCCTGCATGGTCCCCAGGGTCCCGCCAGGAGTGAGCTCTGAACACAAAGCCAGTAGTAAGCCCTGAGCAACGCTGGGTGTGCTCCCCTCCCCCCAAAAAAGGGAAAAAGAAACCCCAAATTTTAAAGTGTTAAGTAGCAATATGGTCAAAATTATGTTCATTTAAATAATGTTTTTTTTAAATATGTGTTCTCTAAAAAGCACACAGAAATGAATGGATATTTTCCTTCCATACTATAGCACAGAGGTAGGGCGTCTGCCTTGCACGCAGCCAACATGGCCGACCCGAGTTCGATTCCTCCGCCCCTCTCGGAGAGCCCGGCAAGCTACCGAGAGTATTCGATATGCCAGACACAGTAACAACAAAGTCTCCAGTGGAGACGTTACTGGGCCCGCTCGAGTAAATCGATGATCGACGGGAAGGCCTTTACCTTTACCTTTTACTATATGTTATAGTCAGCAATTGTCAGGGTCGGATTGACAGCACTTATGAAAGAAGGGGGTCTCTAGCTGGGGCAGCTTCCCCAAAAAGGTGGTGCTACATCCTGTGTAGGGGTGAGGCAAAAGGAAAAAAGGGAATGGTGAAATTCTTATCAAAAAACAAATTGTGTCCCACTCTAATCTAAGACACAAATCAACTCGAGTAATCCGGGTCCAACAGTTCTGTCTAGGACAAGATGGTCCAATGATTTGAACCTGGAGAAGCCCTTAAGCCAGTGAACCAAAGTGTCACGCTTGGAAAATGCACCCACATACACTTTCTGCTAGTAAATGTTTGTTGAATGAATAAAACAAGACTTTTAACTAGTAAAAAGTGTCTTACAATAGTAATTAAGTGACTATATCACGAAGCAAAGGGTTTTTTTATACCCAGAAACCTGCACAGAAAATGAAAAATTAGTCGAGCGTTGTCCACCACCACATGACACTTTATTTTATTTGGGGATGTAGAGTCACAGCCGGCAGTGAGGAAGGCTACAGCTCTGGGCTTGAGAGTCACTCCCAGGGGTGCTCAGGGGACCGTGCAGTGCTGGGGATCAAGCCCAGGCCCCCCACGTGCAAAGCACCTGCTCCAGCCCAAGTTCCCTCCAGCCTCACAGGCCCTCACATGACACTTCGTAACCATCTCTGGGTCACCTCTGGGTCCTTTTAAAGGCATCCACAAAGTTGTCCTCATCTTCCTTGAATCCATCTCAGTTTCCACGAAAAGTCAGAAAACAAATCTGAACAGTAAATGCATTTTATTATACCTTATCAACAAGCCTAATGAAAAGGAAGGCAAAATTTCTCCGTACCTGTCACACTGCTGCATTATAGAAATTTCTTTGATTATTTCCTGAAGATCCGACTCGACAGGCACTTGTTTAATTGCCACAACTTGTCCAGACTCCTTGTGAATTGCTTTGAATACACTTCCATAAGACCTACAAGGAACCAATACCTTTATTTCTGCCTTTTAAAATCATGATTATTAGAGAAAAACAGTTTGCATTTTTCTTAGTGTTGACTTTTCTAGTCTAAAACACTAACGGTGACAAATCAACGTAAACAAATAATAAAAAGGTGAATTATCCCTTTGCACTATTGCTCCAATTACAGACTTACAAAATCTATCAAAATCAAAGTAACTATTTTTAAAGTGCTATTTTTCTTATGAAAGAAAGAAACGGACTTACAGTTTTGCCAACTCAAATGCATGCTGCTTTAAGAAGATATAAGTGAAAATTAGAAGAATGAAATGCAGATTGAAAACAGTTAGACTGAAAACAGTTTATAAAGTCTCAAGTTAGTAGAAAAGGGTTACCTTGCCATTGGCAAGATTATCCCCACAATATAAAGCTCCGATCCCTGTTCTGGCTACGAAAGAGCAACTGGAACTCTCAAGCTGGCCCCCCAGCTGGGCCTTCTGGGCACCCACGTCGGGCAGGCACCGGGCACCCAGGCTCACAGCACCCAGGCTCACCTGCACCCAGGCTCCTCAGACTGCTCCCTCCACTCTGTCTCAAGGGCAAGAGGACACACTGGCAGGTAAGGGAGCTGCAGGAGCTAAGAGCCACTTGCCCAATCAGTCTTTGTCACAACTCTTGAAAGTCTGCCGCTTAACCATGCACGTACTTTAAAACAAAGGCAGTGGACATCGCTGATCCTATGGGATGAGCAAGAAGCCCAGGCAAGAACTCCCACACAACTCGGTCTGACTCTCAGTCAGGACAAGGCTTTGGCTTGTAACATGCACCATCAAAGGCAGCGCTATTAGGAGGCAGGAACACGATTCATCACTTTTTCTTTTTTAATTGAATCTCCGAGAGATTCAGTTACAAAGCTTTCATGTTTGAGTTTCAGTCATACGATGAGCGAACACCCACCCCTCCACCGGTGCACATTTTCCACCACCCACCCAAATCCCCAGTATCCCTCCCCCACCTTTCCAACCCTCCCTCTGTCTCGACGGCAGATGAGCGAGTGACCCCCCATTCCACAGCTGCTGCCCTGGAAATGGCCCAGCCTCGCGGCCTCATGACTAATCTTGCCAGAGACTCAAGCCGAGCTGATGAAACTCACAGGTAAATGGGTCTTCAGGCTGAAAACTCTGGGGCGCCCTCGGGAGGGGCGGGGGGGAGGCATCCTGAGTCCCCGCCCTGCCAAAGCACCATTTTTTTTTTATTTTTTTTTTTTTAATTTTTATTTATTTATTTATTTATTGAATCATTGTGGGAAAGGTTACAAAGCTTTCAGGCTTATGTCTCAGTAATGCAAATATCAAACACATTTCCCTTTACCAATACTTATTTTTTACCATGAAGAACCCCAATAAAACCCCACCCCCCACCCCTCCCCGTCCCCGTGAGGCAGATGAATTCTAGTTAACACTCTATCTGCTTTGATTAGATTCATTGTTTCAATAAAAGATTCACCACTATTATTTAGAGTTTACCCCCCCCCCCCCCAGATCAGACATGCTGAAAAAGCATTGTGAAGTGATTTGCTTTCTACAGCTGGGTTAAAGAATTAAATGTTGGTTTTGGATTTCTGCTATTTTACCTATTGACCCTGGAAGTATTTCTACTGAAAGTCAGATAGTCAAGAAACTGGTTTCTGTGTTCTGGAGTCGTGGCCGTGCTGGAGAGCCGCTCGCAGGGGGCAACCGGTGGCCTCGGTAGGGCGTGAAGGGCGGAGCGAAACGCCCCCCTTCCCATGAGGTTTTAGTCGCCCCCACACTCCCGGCTCATACCTGCTGTCCACAAGGCACCCATGTGGCCACCATCTTTCTTTCCAGAGAGGAGAGGGCGAATGGGGCAACACCCTTTCCCCTCCGGCAGACTTGATGGGCTAGATCAACGCATAGTCCGTTCACTTTTCTGCTCCAAGCTGCTGGGTTCTGCATTAAGTCCTTGTGCTTCTGGGGCCATGGCCGTGCTGGAGAGCCGCTCGCGGGGGGCGACTGGTGACCTCGGTAGGGCGTGAAGGACGGACCGGAACGCCCCCCAACCCATGAGGTTTTAGTCGCCCCCACTCCCCCGGCTCATACCTGCTGTCCACAAGGCTCCCATGTGGCCGCCATCTTTCTTTCCAGAGAGGAGAGGGCGAATGGGGCAACACCCTTTCCCCTCCGGCAGACTTGATGGCCTGGGTCAACGCATAGTCCGTTCACTTTTCTGCTCCAAGCTGCTGGGTTCTGCATTAAGTCCTTGTGCTTCTGGGGCCGTGGCTGTGCTGGAGAGCCGCTTGTGGGGGGTGACTGGTGACCTCGGTAGGGCGTGAAGGACGGACCGGAACGCCCCCCTTCCCATGAGGTTTTAGTCGCCCCCACATCCCCGGCTCATACCTGCTGTCCGCAAGGCTCCCATGTGGCCGCCATCTTTCTTTCCAGAGGGAGGAGGGCGGAAGGGAGCAACACCCTTTCCCCTCTGGGCAGACTTGATGGCCTGGATTAACGCATAGTCCTTTCACTTTTCTGCTCCAAGCTGCTGGGTTCTGCATTAAGCCCTTGTGCTTCTGGGGCTGTGGCCGTGCTGGAGAGCCGCTCGTGGGGGGCAGCTGGTGACCTCGGTAGGGCGTGAAGGACGGACCGGAACGCCCCCCTTCCCATGAGGTTTTAGTCGCCCCCACACCCCCGGCTCATACCTGCTGTCCACAAGGCTCCCATGTGGCCGCCATCCTTCTTTCCAGAGAAGAGAGGGCGAATGGGGCAACACCCTTTCCCCTCCGGCAGACTTGATGGCCTGGATTAACGCATAGTCCTTTCACTTTTCTGCTCTAAGCTGCTGAGTTCTGCATTAAGTCCTTGTGTTTCTGCGGCTGTGGCCGTGCTCCAAACTTAACTCTGACTTTCAGGCAGAAAGATTGGGTGGTTTACTTCTTATTGATCACTTTGTATATAGATGTCGCGCTTGAGAAAAAGTCCTCGTTCCCGCATACTCGAGCTGTGTTTGTAGAGGCTTCTGGTCACCGGGGTTCCATCTGGGGGAGGTGGGATGCGGCACCTACTCCATCTGGAACTTGCGGGTGATCTTTTTGGAACCTGTTTTTTCTTTTTTCTTTTTCCTCCGGGATCCCGCACCCTCCATGTGTTTTTTCTCTTATGCTGAACGCTTCCAGCACCATTTTTTCTTATTAATAATTCCATTTCCCATTTTGTTGCAACAGGCAAAATAAATTATGTTGTGCCTGCTAAGGCGGTGGTCTTGGGGGGATGGGTAGGAAACTGAGGGTGATCGTGGCGGGAAGGTCGCAAAGGGGGTAGGACTGCTGCTCCATCACTGAATGCCCGAAACAACTGTGCTCTGAACAACTTTGTAAATCACAATGTTAAATAAAGATTTTTTAAAAAAAAAAAAAAAGAGGAAGCAGAGATTCTGCTACTGGGGAGCAACAATGCCAGAATGTAAACACATTTTGACGCTGAAGAGCATGTCTTCTTCACGACACGCTTTGCCCAGAGGAGACAGAAAGCATGTGATTGGAAGACACGGAATCTTCTCTGATAGCAAAGATGAACTAGCATGCAGAGGGAGGGATCGGGAAGCTAGCACGAAGGACTGGAGAGTCACTTGGCCTGTGGGAGCCGGGGTTCCATCGCCGCACTGTGCGGTCTGCTCAGTCCTGTCTGGAGTGTCCCCGCCCCCAAATGAGGGTATGTGGAATTGCTTTCAAGTTCAGTCCTTCCAAATAAGGGACAGGTGAGAAAGCAGCCTCCTTATCAAAATGAATTCTGTCTTCTTCCCTCTCTCTCTGGGTTTCATGAATTTAATTTATTTTGGTACCCAGTTACCCTCAGGCCCACACACTGCCTCCACTGTACTGCGTGTGGGACAAGGTATATAGCTTAGGGACCGGGACATGCTTGGCATGTCTGAGCCCCTGGGTTCATGCCAGGGCAACAAAGAGTCGGCACTGAAAAGAATATGCATGAGAGCGCCCGGCTGGAGGAGAGAGGGCTCTGATACAGGAGAGAAGGCCCGGATGGATGGGAGAGGGCCCCAATGCAGGAGAGAGGGTCCGGATGCAGGAGAAAAGGCCTGGATGCAGGAGAGAGGCCTGGCTGGAGAGGAGAAGAGGTCCAGCTTACAGGCCAAGCAGTAGCCTCCTGCAGCCGGCCTCTGGGCCACACGGGCTCTGAGGGGTTAGTGTTGGCCAACACTGCTGCCCACTGACTCTGTTCCCCAAATTCTAACGACTATGTTTTGATCCTGCAATTATTTATTACAGAATTTCATAGACCATGATCAAAAACAAGACCTGAAAAATATTTTTGGTCTATATTCGTTGTTTTTGGCTTTTTCCTTGTATTTGAATTTTTTTTTCTTTTCCTTTATGCTGAACATTGTAATTTTATTTTATTGTGCTACCATCGATTTATGGCAGGGGGTAGAGTTTATGAGTACAGACTTCTGCCTCTTCAAATGATTGTTCCTTCTTTTAAAAACCAATGGGCCATAAAATTACCCTTTAAAGAAAAGAGGAAGACTATAAGGAAACAGAAAGTATAGACATGTTTTATAATATACTTTTGTATTTAATCAAATTTATTGAGCAAAGAAGTCCCTAAGCTTACTTGGTCGATAACTGTCTTTTGAAAAATAAAAAGAATCACTCAGCACCCTCCTGGAAGCCAACCTCTTAAAAATGAACAAAGAGAACAAAGAGAAAGTGTCCCCAACTCACTTACGGCTACTATGGCCCCCTCACTGTTCCAACCCCCCACCCCCGGGGACAGTATTGCCCACTTTGGACTACAAAGTATTACAAACTATGTTCTCATTTCTCCCTAACATTTTTCAATTCTTAAAGAGGCTCAGTCTGTTAGACTCCCAAAGTTCCTTCACAACCCAAACTCTCACGTCATCTGGCACATCCATGCTTGGTTCCATGCTCACTTATACACCATTAATAGGGTTCTTCTTTATTCAATAGTGTTTAACTC